TGAGTCAGAAGCAACATGGCAGAGAAGAAAGCCTTCTGCACTGTAAGTGTACCCGTTTAACAACTGTGCCTTCTCCTTCGCAGAACTCTGAGAATCGTAGTTCAGGTATGTATGGGCGGCAGCAGGGGGAGAGTAGCAAAGCCATAACTACGGGAGGTAGGAACCGGACATGCAACGGAAACAGTATAGTCCCAGACGGTTCTATTTTTTTGACTCAGTCGGAGACACATACACATATCAATGGGTGCGTTCACATGTCACAACAAGCCATGAGTGCACAGGGGACTTGAACTGTTGTACTGTGTGCAAATGATGGGCACATACTATCTGGCTATTCATGCTTAGGGCATGGTGTATTATGGCAGACCATGCCAACGAAGAGAGGCAATCGCCAACCTCTTTCAGGTTGGCTTGTGGACCCCTCTTCTTCTTCGTTGGGAAAGAAGCAAACTTGGGAGGCAGACGTGCCTGGGTACACAGAACATGGGAAACTCTTCCTGTTAGCAAGAACGATCATGGAGCATGCATGTGCACGTTGTCTCCCCGAAGGAAGGTAGAGTTACTGCAATGGCTTGGCTTACCATGTTGTGCAAATGCATCCAATACATAAACATGGGGCTTTTAAATATCTGGGAGGAAAACACAACAGAAAGAGCCAAAGTAGCCACTGTGTAACAGCTTGGGTTTATAGGTTCAACTGATGCTTCGGGCTGGTGATTAGGATGAGTCATGCTCCTAAACTTAAGCATCACGCTAAATAAACTACAGTGCGTGAATCTGTAAATTGCAGCACATTACAAGGGAGCTACTGCCCTAAATTACTAGGGAGTGCCCTAATTGTGATGAACGCCCTTACTCTCTGGTGCATGCAAGTTGTTATGCGCCATCAAGTTGCTTCTGACTTACGGCAATCCTAACAGGGTGTTCAAGGCATGTGAGATGTTCAAGAAGATGATTAATTGTCATTGACACCCCCGTGAGTTTTTGCGGCCAAGCAGATTTGAACCCACATCTCCCGAGTGCTCGTTCGATACTCTGCCCACTGCATCGCACTGGTCCCAGTACTGCTTGATCTTTGCACATGGCACTTTAAAACACCCAGTTTGTTAGGGATCACCCCAGGACGCCAGTAGTTGGCAGTGCGCATGCTCTCAACTAGAGAAACAGATCCAAAACTGTGTCAGCCTACTTGGCATGATTTGGACAGCCGCAGGTTTCAAGAGTGGGACCAACAGAGGTCAAATAGCAAATAAGTCTTTCATTCCTCTCCGTTTGCTGTCTTGGCAGACAAATCCTGTAATGGATGCTACCAGACAAAAATATTTCTTATCCTGGTCATATCTGTAGGACCAAAGCAGGTTCAAATAGGATTCCCCTTGCCTAGAAACCAAGGTCTGGCAAGAGTCCTCTAGGACGAGTCTTTCCGCTCCCATCATCTGCCTCTGATCAAACCAGTTTCCAGAGGACCCAGCATGGCGTCAGCATTTAATTTTTATGCACGCTCCTGAGTTTGGTCGGACGCTAGAGGGATAAAACAACTGACGCAAGCGTAGAGCTGTGCAGGAGTCAAGCTATGAGGCACAGAATCAGACTCAGCCAGTCTGGAGTAAAAGAGTAAAACAGCCTACAAGCCAATAAATAATTTGGAAAGGTGGAGAGTGGGGGAGATAGATTGGAAATGCTTCAGCGCTGCAGTCACGGCGGGCATGTCTAGCATCCGTTCATGGCTGGAGCTGAAGGTTGTTGTGTTGTCGTTACATGCCGTCAAGTTGCCTCTGGCTTATAACAACCCTACAGATCGGCAATCCCCAAAATTCATACTGAATGGTCCCTTTTCTTATCTTCGGATTTTATACTTTGGAATTGTGCACAAGATGCATGGAGATGTCCTCAATGAACCGATTTCCTGCAGGTACACCTCCCACATACTCTACAATAGTTAGGTAGTTTACCTATCCTACTATATTTATTGCTAGCAGCAAATACAACCCACAATCCGTCCTCCATAATTGTTAGTGCTGTGAAGCCAAGTATTCCCAGTATGCTTGATTGTTCCCAGTTTCAGATTTAGCCTCCTTGTCTATCACTGCAAAGTCTCTCCCCGGTTCCACTAGGGATTCAATGGAACAAATGACTCCGAGTCCCATCTATGCTTCGGTCTCCTCTACTAAAGTCTTCGCTGCTCTTCCAAGGCCAAGCACCTCCAAGATGTTGAATCAACAGAGCACAAGGTTTACAATCCATTTGGAAGGCCAATCTACCAATTACGGGTCAACTGGAAGCTGAAAACCGTACAGATTCTAGCCTCCTGAATTCTACCTGCAGGCTATAATTCAGAATTCACACTGACCAAATTCAGTGTGACCTGGGAGCAGTTGTATATTTCCCAATTTCCTTCCTCCGAGATACATCTGTGATGATCTCTGCTATGAAGGCACACACTTGGGCTAAAATATTCCTCGCACACCCAGAATATATGACTGAAGTGTTTAGGCAATCAGACATCAAAAGTATTAGCCCTAAAGATCAATCAGCAAATAAATTGCTTCCAAATTCAGGTCATAGTGTATAATACATAAAAGGCAGGTCATCTGTCTTATCCTGATGAATGGGACTCTGTACTCTTGGCCTTGAAATTCTTCCCCATTGGTTTCAACAAGGGAGGTCTTTATAGAATACCCCTAAGATGCTCTTGAGAAACTTAAGTCATACTTACTGGATTTTCTTGGTGAAATTCTTAGACACGATTCCTCCTTCCGCCTGTTGTTCTTCATGTTTACCTGTCAAAAGCCAAGCCAAAGGATGGAAACGTTACTCATTGCAAAGAAAAGGGACCATTCAGTGTTAATTTTGTGAAAGAAAATGTATTCAGTAGCTAACAATTCTTGCCTGTCCCACTATTCCTTTTAGGTGGACTGTTTCATTTGTTAGCTGCCTTGAATGCTAAAAAGCATCCCAACCCTTGAGGCACCTTTGTAAATCATTTTAATCAATAAATAAGAACAAATGGAAAAACGTAGCCATAATCATTTTGTGTTTTGTTTTTAGACCACGGTATGGAGACATGAGTATTTTTGCCAAAGCCACAAAGCCTGTCCTGTCCTACGTGCTGGACAGGTTCTTGAGGAGCAAGCCAAGCTCTGAGGAACAGCTGCTGGCCTGAGGCAGCCAAATAAAACATCCAGAACCATCTGTGTGGGATGACCATCTCTGGGCGGGCACAGATCTGCCGCCTACCTCCAGTGCAGACGGACAGGCTCTCATCCTACTTCACGCCGAGAGAGTTGGCAAGCAAGGATGAATCCCAGATGTAGCTTTGCAGAACAGCTGAAGAGGCCAAAATAATGGCCTCTTGAAATTCTCCTCCCATTTTTAGGCAGAGAACTATGTGTGTAGGAGGAGGTCCTACTTCACCTAATATCTCCATGGGCAGTAAAAATTCCTAAAGTTTCTCAAGCAGGTAGACTTCGGGACTGGCTGTGGCATTCTGGGATTTGTAGTCCAAAATTAGTAACATTTCCAAGCGACTGGGTCAGGCTCCCCATTAATAATGGGAGGAGCACTGCTCCTCCCTTCTGACTGTAGGCTTGGTTTTATTTTGGCAAATGATGGCAACAGCGACTTCCATGTTGTATGCTCCACAGGGAGCTCGACTGAACATCTTTCCAAGGCATTTGTGGGTGGGCGTGCGCATGTAGGTGGAAAAAATGGAGACCCAATTCAGAGTCCAATTAAAGTTAATATTTTTGGATGGATATCCAAAAATATTCTGGATCCCACAATTTTCTAGCTGGAATTGGCTATGGGATTCTGGGAATAGTATTCCAAAACATGAGAGAGAATCAAACCATATGTTACAGATAGCTCATCATCAGAAGAGGGAATTTCTAAGTCCCGAAACCATCTGCTTATTACAGCGGGAGCTTCTTGTCCCTTTCCAAATGAACTCCTTTTGTTGTGTGACTGGTCTTCAGGAGATAAATCTCAACTCAGCTTGTAAATCTGATTTCTCAGACTTGATGGTCTGCCGGAATCATGTCTCTGAAACACGCCAGTGACTCGGCTTCTAAGAACACATTATCTGAATAGTTTAGCCTTAAGTCCTGCTCCCATTTTTTTTTAAAAAGACCTTCCCTCACTACTCTTAAGTCTCCTGCATTAAATGACGAACATCTCAATTTATCCCAAAACATCACTTGGGAGGATGAGTCTGTGGGGGTGACCTAAAACGGGGAGTCAAATTTTACGGTGTATAATTTTTACGTGTGTCATATTCTGAGGATGGGCAGCTCTGAAGGCTTGCTTCAGGCAAGCGCGTGGTTGACTAAAATGCCAAGGGAGATGGCCAGCGACCCAGTAAACATCGCCGTGGGGCTCCATCACAAGACTCTTCAAACGAAACAAATCATACATGGCTGCCAGCCAGATATCAAGTAACGCACATGATTAAGGTTCAGGTTGGCCTGATTTTATTTCATACTATTATTGTGTCCTGTTTTTCACCCTCCTGAGTGTATATTTCAGTCTCCTACACTGCTTTGAGAATTGAGACAAATCGCAGTTTGAGTACGGGTAGAGGGAATCTCGCCCTGAAATTGTGAGCTGAGGTATCCTTGGGTCACAAGCTGACAGCTAATAATCTGGAAGCCAGGGCCAAACATATTCAAAAGAAAAAGAAAAAGTACCCACGAATCAGCTGTTAGGAACATGGGAAGTGGCTTTGTCTCACCATAAGTCCCTCTAGCCTATCAGCTTCTTCCAACAATTGGCATCTTTCATATGTGTTGGACTACAAGTCCCATTGTCCACACGGTATCAGGTGCAGGGCCAACCATAACTGTTGGCAGCTGTCCAAGGCTTCAAGCAAGGGCATTTCTCGTTCTATATGGGCACTGTATATATGGGATCTTCTGTACTGTACTTTAGCAAGAATCACTAGGGAACAAGGAATAACTTTAGACTCCTTAAAAACTGGGAAAGGAAAGGAGGGTGACTCTATGCAGGTTTTATGATCAGTGATGACTTGGTACCTGGAACTAACTTTAAAAACAAAACCTGAAACGAGGATGCACCCATTTTACAGATAGTGGAACTGAAGGAAAGAGACAGTCCTGAGGCCAGGCTCTCAGGATTTTTCCACAATGACTTGGGGCCAGCTCACACAATAAAGAAAAGTGTGGAAAAATCAGGAAAAGGCTGCATGGTCGTGGAAAAAAATACAAAGTGTGTGCAATCAGTTAATGGTGTTGTTCTTACTTCAAAAATTGCACGCTGGGGGTGAGGTAGGATGAGGAATGTGGCCGGCAGAGAAGAAGTGGCTAATGCTTCCCTATGCTGCGGTCCAAGTAAAAAATTACCCTTCTGTTTGCAACAATAAAGAATCCCTTAATAGTAATGTGGAGTTGAGAGAGGCAAATGTTACTTAGGATTCACAGTGCAGGGGGAAAAGGTGACTCTTCTTTCATAGAAGCTGTGAGCACAGCCCTTGATCAGGTGAGTTATTTTTAAAGTAAAAATAAGGTGCACTAATTGTATGTGGCTCTTTATGGGGAACACAGAACTCCCTTTATGCAACAGTTTTACTAGCTGCAGGTCTGTCTCTGCCCACAATTCAAAGTCACGACTGTGACCTATAAATTCCTATACCACTTGGGTCCAAGGTCCCTGAGCAACTGTATTTTCCTCCATAAGCCTGCCTGGGCTTTGAGATCTGCAGGAGAGACGCTCCTCGAGGTCTCACCTCCTGCTTGGTGGGGGACATGAAAGTGGGGATAAAGCTGGGAAAAGCTGAACAACATAGGAAAAGAAGCAGACCAACGATGAGACGGGTTGATTCAATACAAGAAGCCATGATTTTGAATTTACAAGAGCAGAGCAGGGCTGTTGAAGGCATGGCTGAACAACATAGGAAAAGAAGCAGACCAGCGATGAGACAGGTTGATTCAATACAAGAAACCATGATCTTGTGTTAAGAGCAGGATCATTAATCTTGTTCTTAATTATAAGAGCAGAGCAGGGCTGTTGAGGACATGACGTTCTAGATCACCTGATGATGAGGACCCTTGACATGAGAGGGCCTTCGCTGGGTCGGCTCTTGAGGTCTGGAACCCTTTGCCAAGAGAAGGAGGGTTATGAATCAATGTCCTTCCACTGGGAGTCCAAGATTTTTTATTTATTTAGGAAGCCTTCAGCGACTACCATCATCCTAACGACGTTTAGTTGGATGTGGTGATTTTCTTTTTTAAAGGCAAAACATTATTAATATTTTAATTGAGAGACTATTAAGTCTTATAATTTTAACTGGGTTTTAATATTACATGAGATCCATTCTATTGAAGTGCACTGTATTTTAATGCTTTTCAATCTATTGTAAGGCACCATGAGTCATAGTGTTGGGAGACAGTAACAAATAAAACAAAAAAGAATTACAAATAAATAAAGCATCCATTTTATTGTTTGGTTGCTCTTCTGCAGGAGAGCACCATTGGATAGCTGTTAATAAAACAAAAAAGAATTACAAATAAATACTGTAAAGCATCCGATTTATTGTTTGGTTGCTCTCCTGCAGGAAAGCACCATTGGATATAGCTGTTGTGGTTGTCATTTATATTTACATTCAATGTTTCCCCCCATAAGCCCAAGACAGCTTACATCCGTTTTATTCTTACCACTATTATCCTTACCTATGAGGTAGGTAAGATGCAGAAACAAGAGTGAGTGGCTCAAGGGTCACGCAGCAAGCTTAATGGCTCCGTGAGGATTAGAATCTGGATCTTCCAAGCCATAGACCAATACTCTTACCCAGTGGTCCCCAGCCTTGGGCCTCCAGATGTTCTTGGACTTCAGCTCCCAGAAATCATGACCAGCAGAGGTGGTGGTGAAGGCTTCTGGGAGTTGTAGTCCAAGAACATCTGGAGGCCCAAGGTTGGGGACCACTGCTCTAACCAGTACATCTCACTACCTTATATGTGGCATCTTCCTCTGTGACAGGCTGGGATAAATCTGGAATCCTGATTGATTGAAAAGGTGGGGAAGGGGATTTAGGATGAGAAGTCTAAAACGGAATAGTGGTTAAATACAGTCTTTCTGGGCTGGGAACCTCGAGAGGAGGAAGCAGAAAAGCACGAGATGGGAATTTCACCATCCTCCTTCGATTTAGCTTTCTGCCTGGCTCGGCCATAAAACAGAATGGGAAAACCTCCCCATGTCAAAGGAACTGGTGTTTTCTCCCAGAAAGAGGTGTTGTGCCTTAAACAATGGCAAAAAGACAGGTGGAAAATTATTAAGTCATGCTTTTCCTGGCATGGTGATATAGTAAGATCAGAAAATCTCCTCCTGATTTCTTTTCTTTCTTTCTTTCTTTCTTTCTTTCTTTCTTTCTTTCTTTCTTTCTTTCTTTCTTTCTTTCTTTTGGAGTAATTCTATAAGGGTTGTTCTTATGAAGCAATGATTATCCTAACAACAGTGTAGACACAGTAAAAAAAAATTCCCTCCGCAAACTACACAGCAGTATAAATTCCCAGCGACTTTATTTTTGCCCAGAAAACAGCTATTTAAAAAAACATACATCATCCTTTCACCTGCTGTAAGTTGCATGTTCTGGAATTTGCAGCTAAGTAGGGGGGGGGAGAGACAGAAAGAGACTCTGTTCTTTATCCTTTCAGAATATTTTCACTCTTACTATATATAAGCAGGATATATTTCTGAATACAGTACTTACAGTATCTCTCCCTTAAAGGATGCCCCCTTTGTAGTTAAATTTAAATAGTGATTAATTGAGCAAAGATATGAATAAAAACGCAGACGCAAACTTTGCTAACAGCAAAATTCTATGCTAATCTTTGCACTCTTCATGCTAATTTATAGCTTTTCTATTTCATAAAGAGTATTTTATACTCTTTATACTAATCTGGATAGTAATTTCTTTTTGAATCTCCTTACCTTTATTCAGAATGCATTATTATTATATTGCACTTCTTAATTCTCAGCATTGCTGGTGCATATAGGCGGGCCAAAAGTTTAACCCTAAACATTGGGAGTCAAGTTATAAAAAATTGTGGGTAAGGTGATGTGCAAACCCACTGATTTTTGAATTTCAGGGAGCAAATGAGCAGCCACTGGCTATTGTTTCATGCTGGTAGCCAAAAACTTTGGAAGGATTGCAGTTGCTGAAATCAGTATGGTGGAGAAGATAAACTGATTTTCTTTCCACAATCTTTTAATTTCTTGCCTTAATGCTTTGTACTTTCTGTAGTTTTGAGGTTGTTTGCTGTTGGAATTCCAACTTCCATCAGATATGTTTTTTCTTTGCTGCTGGTCCAGAACTATAACATCCAGCTTATTAAAATCAGTTGTTTTATCCATGTTCACTTGAAACAACTATTTAATCCATGATAACTTATGTTGTTGTTGACAATGATGTTCCTATTATTTCCTTGAATATTATCGGGTCATTGACAGGAAGGGAAATATTCAATTCTCTTGAAACAACTATTTAATCCATGATAACTTGTGTTGTTGTTGACAGTGATATTCCTTGAATATTACTGGGTCATTGACAGGAAGGCAAATATTCAGTTCTTTTTTTTAAAGTCAAATTGATTTAAATCACAGTTTTAATTTTTTTTAAATCAAATTTTTATTTTTATTTAGCTTGGTTCCCTATTTTACTGAGCTTTTGTTGCGGTTGCTGTTTATGGGTACGTGGAGAGGAAAGCAGAGCAGGGGGAAGATGAGAAATGGAAGATTATGGTGTCTCCACACCTTCAGCCCTAGAGTAACATTTCCTGTTTCAGTTAGGGTTATTGCCTCATAAAAGCCTCACCTAGAAGGACCTTGGGAGCCAGTGTGGATATAATATGGGACTAGGACTCAGGAGACCTGGGTTCAAATCCTCACTCACCTACAGAATTCACTGGAAGGGATGGAGCTGTTAAAGCCACTCCTTGAATTTCTCATAGATGGAGCTTAAAGGCTGTACTAGAGTCACTGTAAGTCAAAAGCCGCTTGATTGAATGTAATAATGGCAGAAGAAACCTGGTTGGATTACAGCTCCCATCATCCTCAGCCATAATTCCGATCAGGAGGCCACCAAATTGGCTAAGGCTACTCTGGGCCAGGGCTTGACCTACCAATAGGTCTCACGTCAAACCAGAGCGGCTCCGAACAAGCTCACCGGTTCTGCACACTGAAGAATCGAAAAGTTTCTATTTTTGGATTGCTAACCTGGAATGATTTGAGGAGTTGTCGTGCAAAACAGAAAAGAAAATAAAACTTTGGCAAACTTTCCCCAAACATTGGCAAAGAACAAGGATTCTAAACAATCCAGTAGGCTTCAGTAAAACACCACATGCTTCTTTTTTGGGGGGTGGGGGATAGTTTATGAGCAAATTGCATAATTTTCGCTCTTTCATTCTCTACCTCTAAATTGATCAGCCAGTCAGTCATTCAACTAAAATTGAATAAATATGGAAACTTATGTTTTTTTAAAAAATCAAAAGAAGTGAGTTTCAGAGCCAGTGAACTTATTTTAAGGTTATAACCCCATGCACATTTTGCTTGGGAAAAAAATGTAATTGAGACCTGTAAAAATGACTTTTATATAGTCACGGATCCAGTCCTGCAGCAGAACACACCACTGAACCATCAAAACCCACTCTGAATCCTTAGCATGTTTCTGAAAGTTTTTTTTATGCCATGGGGTTCCTCAGGGCTCAATACTGTCCCCCATGCTGTTTAACGTCTGCATGAAACCGCTGGGAGAGGTCATCAGGAGGTTTGGGCTGAGGAGTCAGCAATATGCTGACGACACTCAGCTCTACCTCTCGTTTTCCACCAATCCAGGTGAGGCAGTTTCTGTGCTGAACTCGTGTCTGGACCTGATAATGGACTGGATGAGGGTTAATAAATTGAAACTCAATCCAGACAAGACGGAAGTGCTGTTAGTGGGTGCTTCGCCGGACAGGTTGGAGAGCCATTTCCCTGCCCTGAATGGGGTTACACTCTCCCTAAGGGACAGGGTCCACAGCCTGGGGATGCTCCTGGACCCCAGTATAACTCTGGAAGTCCAGATGGACTCAGTGGCCAGGGGCGCCTTCCTTGAGCTGCGGAAATTATACCAGCTATGGCCCTACCTGGACGAGCAGAGCCTAATGACAGTTACACATGCACTGGTAACGTCCCGTATAGATTATTGCAATGCGCTCTACATGGGGCTGCCTTTGAAGACGGTCTGGCAACTGCAACTGGTCCAGAATCGAGCTGCGCGGTTGGTGAGTGGTGGAGCCGCTAGAGATCACATCAAGCCGATTCTGTTTAACTTACATTGGCTACCAGTTGCTGCCCGGGCCCAATTCAAAGTGCTTGTTTTGACCTATAAAGCCCTAAACGGCTTGTGCCCTGGATACCTGCAGGACCACCTCCTTTCATATGAACCTACTTGGCAGTTAAGATCTAGCCAGGGGGCCCTTTTGAAAGAACCGTCCCTTAAGGAGATAAGAGGGAGGGCTTGTAGAGAAAGGGCCTTTTCAGCAGTTGCCCCCAGACTATGGAACGCCTGAGATATGTCTGGCACCGATGCTGATGACGTTTCGGTGCCAGGTCAAAACCGTTCTTGTTCCAGAAGGCTTTTAATTGAAATAATATCAACTGTGGGTCTTGATGGCAATTTTTAGAGTCTCTATTTTAACTGTATTTTAATTGTTTTATCTTTTTTTATTGTAGTTAAATTGTTGTAAGCCGCCCAGAGACATTTGGGTCGTGTGGGCGGCATAAGTTAAATAAATAAATAAATATTTTTAAAACATCCGATTATTAAAATTGATTAAGATAGAGTTTTTTTAAAATCCTTAATTTGTATCCTCCCCGCTCTTTAGCAAGAAGACTTGACCACCACCATACTGCATCTGCCATCCACTCACCAGAGACTTCCACGTAGCCGTCCTTGGTCTTCACCGTCAGCTCCTCGGCTTTGAAGCTCTGCACGTTGACGCACACTTTCCAGGGCTCCCCAGAGAAGGGGGGTGGGCTCCCGCCAAAGGGTCCTCCTTCTGTGTAACCCCCAAATCTGGCCCCATAGCCTGGCGGGGAGAGGCCAGGGGTACGGGTCATGCCCGCTCGGAGCGGGCTGGGCCAGGCACTGCTCAACCGGGAGCGGGCCCAATCCGGCCAGTTGGCCGTCAGTTCGCCGGAAAAGGGCGACATCCCAAAGTCCTCGTCCAAGAGTCGAGAGGAGAGGCTGGATTCCCGGAAAGGGTCCCGAAGGCTTCGGTGCCGGCTGGGGAAATGGCAGGAGAAAGGCATCTGGCTGTCGGCCATGGTCTTCTTTCGCTCGGAGCCAAGAGGACGGGATGGGATGGGGAGGAAAAAAAGGCAAAAGCTAAGGAAGAAAGGAAGGAGAATCCAAGAGGGTTAACCCGGCTGAAATTTAGGACGGGCAGGAAAAGGTCATGCAATTGCCCTTCAACGATGCAGGAATGTTGGGGGAACGGGGATCCCCTGGCATCGGACAGGTTCAGCTTCAAGATCCTGTGTCGACAGCTGCCCTTGGCTTTCCTCCAACTCCGGAAAGAAACTCCAAAAAAATAAATAATATTCTCCCCGCTCTCCAACAGGACGCAAACTGCCACCACCTTCCAAACCGCACCTGAAGGCCAAGCGGACTTCACTTGCAAAGGCCAAGCCAGTCGGAGGAGAAGAAACCGAGGCGGGCGATATCAGCTCTTTCCTGGGCTCAACTTTCCCCCTCCGGTTCCCAAACAGAAGCTTAAATAAGCCTTCCTTCTCAGAGCCCAGAAACTTCGCTAAAGTTCCAACGCCTGCCTGCCTGCCTTCTATTTATAACGTGCTTTAGGAATGTGTGAGTGTGTGTGTGTGTGTCGCAATTCCTGCCCTGCAAGCTGTATTTTTGGAGAGGATGAAACACCCCCGGAGAATCTGGGCTGCGACAGCTGACTTCATCCCGGTGGGACAGGCATGCCCAAATGGAGAGCCAAGTTGAGGCAGCTCCCTCCCTCTTTATGCTGGCACCTGGATCTGCAGCAGGCGAAGCCGGCTATTATTAACTTAGGGTGTCAGTCTGAACTTCTGAATGCCATTTCTTGGGCTTTTGCTGAAGCCACAGAGAGGCCTGGGTGGCATTTTAAAAGCCAGAAGCTTTGGGCACCTCTGATCCAGATGGCTCCCGATTCTCTCCGTCTCAGTGTATTTGGCTTTTAGGTTCTTCATTTCTCAACCCGAGGTGTACCAAATGTATTTTGTGTTATTTAAAAGCAAACAAACACACTCCAAAGCCGTAACTGCAAAGCAGCGCACGTAAAAGCATGGAGAATCCATGTAAAAGTATAGCTAGCAGCAAAAACAAAACAGTGAGAGGACGTGTGAAAGTATGTCTTAAAATAAAATGAAAAGAGCTGTCGGGGACCTCAAGCAGGCCATGAAGGTACTGCCTGATTGGCAAGGTCATCTTCAAAGGGCCATCTGGCCATTGTTGTAGTGGCCTCTGGTCTTTCCTTCCCAAGAGAGATTCATCTGGCATTCTCATTGTAAATTTGAGACGACAGGATGAAAACCTGATCTTGAATCCTGTCCTCAATACGTATTTTCAATTTTACTTTAAAATAATATTTTTGGGGAGGGGTCACTTTTCCACATTCTAATATTCCAATATTCTAACATCTCCACTCCTGTTTCAACTGATTTGCTTTCTTTGATTGTAAAACTGGAGTTTTTTGGGGGGTCTCCCTTCCTTTTGGTGTTTTAAATCTTTCTGAAACACAGCTTGTGTCTGTAGTTGCCATCGGTAGAAATAATGGCTGAAACAACCACAACTGCAAGACTATTTTTTTTAATTTGTAAACAGTTGAAAAGGCAGTAACCCACCAGACCAAGGCTCTATTTCTTGGGTCATACCTTTAAATAGTTCATAATAGTTTTAATTTACCCTGTCCTGGCACGAGTTCCAGGTGAAGGGGCGACGAATTCAGATCCTGCCTCAGTCATAGAAAGATCTATTTATACCATGGCACAACAACCTGTTCTTGAAACACCAAGGTTAAAAAAAATGGTGGCAAACTCTTTTCTGCAAACTCTTATGATTGTATCAAATTACTTTGCACGGAATCAATCATGTGCTGACTATCTCTTTATATACGTGATGTGGGAATGAGTGGCATTTCTTTATTTTCATATCTGGTCTCCTTTTTTTGGTAAACATTTAACAACAGCTTTATTGAGTCAGGTTACGCTGAGATGCAGTGACACCTGCTCAAAGGGACACAGTGAGCGTCCCAGCTAAAACGAGATTTGAAGGCAGTCTTTCTTGAGCGCTCAAAAAGACCCCAACAGCATGTAACTGTTTGGGGCAACTGGGGCTTCGATCCAGTGTGCTGAAATTTAGAGAGCGCAATCATTTAGTACAAGAAATACATGATCCCATCCATTGGCATTTGTGGCAGGAAGGGTGCAAACTCACCCAACCACAGGCGATACCCCATCTCCAGCCACTCCTCCCCAGGGAGAAGGAAACATACAGTAAGTGGGCTCAATACAGAAACAATATGGTTGCCACATGCCCAGATCCAGACTTTTGTGTCCGTTCATCTGTCCTCTCTCTACCGATCTCACCCGAACAGAGTTTAACTAACAGGGCAAAGAGGCTGCAGGGACCGAAGTAACTAGTTCCGCCTCTGCATTCCATTGTGTTCTTTCACCTATATCCAGTCTATATATTTTTATATGAAGTGAAATATGTAGTACAAACACCAATAAACCTCCAGTGTCTCAACAGAAACACCGGATAAATACTGGACTGTACGATTTCAGAGAACAGTGGCGACTATCACACTCTCCTTATTCCTATATATAAAAAGGGGGATACCCACAGAGGCTGGTTGGGGGGAGGGAGGATACAGCTTCCACTCAGAGGCAAAAACAAGGGGTCACCTGGAGCCAAAGATATTTAATATGCTACCGAGCTTCCCCAATCCCTTGTAAGATCTAACGAAGCAGCTATATTAGTCTGCGCAAAAGCTAAAGCCACAAAACAAGCAAAAAGGAAAAAAAAACTCAGCGTTACATTCCAGTGTGAGCTTTCGTCCCCTTCCTCAAACACAAGTCGCATCTCAGTATATGATCCGTGAAATAACACATTGGCGGAAATCTGTTGCTTATCAAAAGTCCTGCTATAATAGATCCAGTCAACGGCTCCGTAGGTACCCTTGATTCAAATGGGCTTACTCTCGTTGAGGTTTACCGTAGTGTGGCACGTTGCAACTAGAAGGCTCATCTGAATCAACAGAACTTGCAGAGCTGTTGATTCACTAAATCCCTAATGACTGAATGGGCCTATCCTTAGTATTTCTATGCTAAGCGACTGGATTTTAACCAGTGAAATTGTAACATTTCATCCTTAAGCTGCCACTATATTTTTGGTTTTTATTTTATTTGTTTGTTTGCTTGCTTTTGGCTTTCTCCCCCAACCCCCATATGTAAGACGCAAGTGTACTTCGTGCCCTGTTGCTGAGGGCTTAGAATATGCTTAGAACTGCAAAGCTGGAAGGGATCCAATAGATCATTAAGTCCAGCCCTTATCCAAGGGGCACAGTGGGGAATCGAACTCCCAACCTCTGGCACCACCGCTGCTGAGCTATGCAGGCTGTTGGAGGTTCAGTTGACAGTGGCCCATCTCTACAGACAGTAGGGTTGAAAAAGAGGGAATCAGGGAACGAGTCTGAGCGCTTTGCTTAGCATTGGGCGGATCCAGAAGGTGCCTGTCCTGGAAGATCAAAGGATGCTCTGAATACCATTCCAGACTCAATCAATGAGGGTAATAAACTTCAGTCATTAGGCCACCCCTGAAGGCACTGGCACGCCCGACCTTTTTTAAAGCCTGGCATTCCCTCTGACTCACGTCATAATTACGAAATAATGACAGTTTGTAGGCAGCGTTTAGGCGGCCCCAACCCCGGCCTGAAGACATGGCTCCTAATCCACGAAAACTCAACCTCAGCTAATCTGCAGCTTGAAAAACTAGTATCAGGGCATGAGAGGAGGGCTGGAAAGCCTTCCATTCAAATCTCCTGTCAGTAATGTAGTACGTAGTAGATAAGAATTGTTGGACTAGGACTTGGGTTATATGGGTTCAAATCCTGGCTTGGCCATGAAACTCACCGGGGGACCAGGATTGGTAAAACTGCTCATTAAATATCTCACATGCCTCAAAAACCCAGCTAGGGTTGATATAAGTCTGATGTGACTTGCTGGCATTTAATATAACACAGTGAATTTAGTTAGAGCCAAACACCTCAAGACAGCAGGAGGTGGGGGAAAGGCTGAGAGAGAAAAGGAACAAATATTTTGCAAATGTCTCATGGGGATACAGGGGACCCTCTCGAAGATAGGAGGTGACCTGTTGGGGGAGACTAACATCCGATGGTTGTTGTAGGTTTTTTGGGCTGTTTGGCCATGTTCTGGAGGTTTTTCATCCTAATGCTTTGCCAGTCTCTGTGGCCGGCATCCTCTGAAGATGCCGGCCACAGAGACTGGCGAAACGTCAGGAAGAACAACCTTCAGAACACAGCCAAAGAGCCTGAAAAACCCACAACAACCATCTAACCCATTCATTGCTAGAAGCTCTTCACCTGTATAAGGAAAAACATATACGGAGGTATACTCAGAGACAATACTGGAACAGGCCAGGATGGACAACAGTGGCCCTCCAAGCAGTTGTTGGACTGCAATTTCCAGTAGCTGTAACCAACTTAACCAATGGTGAGGGATCATGGGATCTGTAGTGACACATGCCTTAGTTACATCCCGGCTGGTTTACTGTAACCTACTCTACATGGGGCTGCCTATGGAAAGTATCTGGAGACTTCAATGGGTCCAAAATGCAGCAGCCAGATTGCAAACTGGGGCTAGTAATTGGAATCCCATAACTCCCTGTTACAGCATCTCCACTGGCTGCCTATCTGTTTCCAGGCACAATTCAGAGTGATGGTTCTAACTTCTAAAGTCCTAAATGGCTTGGGTCTAAGCTATCTCCCTTTATGAACCGCTTTTCTCATGGTTCCACAAGTGTACTTGGTGGGTATATGGGAGAGGGCCTTCTCTGTTGCTGGTCCCAGACACTGGAACTCCCTCCCACTGGAGGCCAGCCTGGCCCCATCTTGGCTGTCCTTTCGCAATGCCGTCAAACACCTTTCTCTTCTAAAGTCCTAAATGGCTTGGGTCTAAGCTATCTCCCTTTATGAACCGCTTTTCTCATGGTTCCACAAGTGTACTTGGTGGGTATATGGGAGAGGGCCTTCTCTGTTGCTGGTCCCAGACACTGGAACTCCCTCCCACTGGAGGCCAGCCTGGCCCCATCTTGGCTGTCCTTTCGCAATGCCGTCAAACACCTTTCTCTTCAGGCAACCTGGCCCCATCTTGGCTGTCCTTCCGCAATGCTGTCAAATACCTTTCTCTTCAAGCAAGCTTTTTCTCAGTGACTGGCTGCCTAAGTGGGGTTTATTAATGGATGGTTGTGCCTTACTCTGCTTTGATTGTGTTTTTGGTTTACCTTCTACTTATTTA